CCTGCTGCTTGATTTTTTGGGACTCACATCTACACAGGGCAAATTCCATTTTTATTCTGTTTCTGATAACTTTAAGGCTAGATCAGCTTATTATTAGAAAAAGAGTCTCAGATGACTAAATTTACTCCAGGGAAATTAACAAATATATGGAAGTCATTTGATTTTTTTTTTTAACCTAATGTACATTTTTTTGGCTGTACAGAGATGAGGAAGATACATTTTCCTCAATTAGCTCACAGTTGGGTTTGGGGAAGGCAGACCTATGCCCAGAAGTTGTCTGAGCATTTCATGTGAGGACATAACACTGCTATGTTATGATGTTGGTGCTGTCTGAGTCTAGAGCTCATGCTCTTTATTATATTCTTCTGCCCATCACATTATGAATAAGGCTTAAGGTACAGGCTTGAATAGACCTGTTTACCCCAAATTAAGAATGTAATATTTATTGTAAAATAGAGCATAGTCTAACATGTAACATAAAAATGCCTATAACCTGGTTACCCATTTTAAGACTCCATATTAATAAAGCGTCTTTTTCCTTAATTTTTTTTTCTGTGCATAGTTTTCCCCAAATGTTGACGAGATTATAGTAGCTAAAGAGTACAGGAGCTTGAACAAGACTGCTTGGATTTATAATCCAGTTCTGTACTTACTGTGTATAAGACTATAGGCTATACTTCTGTTTCTTTATAAAACATTAATAGCTTTAAATGTTAATAGCTCAATAAATGATAGCTAAGCTACTATAAATTACCAACAAAAAAGCATCTTTTTTTAGTTAACATGTTTAAGACATTTTTCCATGTCATTAGTATGGATTAATCCTGTCCTTTTTAATGGCATTAATAGTTTTTCATAGTATGGATGTCCTGTGGTGTGCTTAACTACTTATTGTTGAACATTTGGGCTGATGGCCATTTTTATTTTGCTATTTCATACCTGCAGTGAATATTCTTGTGTATATATTGTTGCACATTCTATGTCAATGTTTCTGTTAGGTAGATTCCTAAACGTGGACTTGCCCGGGTCAAGGAGTATGCACAGGTTTTTATATATTTTTTTTTTCCGATAAAAGTTGTTTATGCTTTCATACACTTACAAAAGATTACAGTATAAATTTCCCATTCATCACTGCCAAACTGACAGATGAAAATCACTTTGTTTCGTTGTATATTAAGGAATATTATTAGCATCAGTGTCTATTAAAAGTGTAAAAATGTTTTTTCCTAGTTGGCTTTTTAAAAAAAAAAAAACTTTTATTTTTGTTAAACACTAAAGATTTTTATTTTTCCCCTCCTTGAGGCATTTTGGGTTTTGTGTCATTCACGAACTAAATCTAAATATGGCCTGTGAGTACTAATGTATAAAACTTTGGCAAAGAAGGTGAAAGGAGGAATTTGTTTTTAATGAGCTGCCCGCCCCCAAGTTTTTTTTAAGTGGTGAAATATATTTGTGGCCACTTGGGTGTTTTGTGCCAAAAGAGATATCTAGTCCTTTTTACAGCCAGATCAGAGCCCGGTCTACATGTCCTATGTGTACTTCTGTAATGGCCCAGCAAGGATAGCTGGTTGTCTAACCCAATGAGCATATTTTTCAGATTAATAAGAAACAAATATTTGAGCTCCTCAAAGCAGTTATCCATCATATTGATGTTTCAGAATAAGGGCAAAATTTTTGAGAAAAACCAGTGTCATTTTTAAATACAAAATTTATGTCATTTGTTTTATCTTTGTGGAAAGAAAATATTGTTTGAACTGAATAACTGGATACTGAAGAAACAATGTATAAATTTTAGTATGCTTTTCCCTTTTGAGCTATTAGAACCTTTTTGCAATATAACAGTTTTTCAAGGAAATAGTCTCAAGTGCATTGTAACCTTTTCTGTTTGCTCCTCAAATTGTATATTTATCATTCTTTCAATTTAAAACATGGAAGATTAACTCTGATTTTTCTTTCAGCTACGGCCGATGTCCTTGGTGATAGTGGAAGCTCTGGGCTCATTACCTCTGAAAGTCCTGTTATCTCCAAACATAGGCTTGACCAGAAAATAGCTTTGAACATAAAAGAAGTTCATGAACTAGAAGCTGGTGCACTAAAAGCAAGTGTTGACTTACCAGAAGAAAAGCCTCCAATTTCTGATGATCCGCCTGATACTCAAGAAATTCATGTAAAAAACTTTAATTTCTTAATTCTTTGTCAGTCTTTGTTTTGATTTAGTTAGGCTTCAAACCTAATATATTCATTTATTTGATTGCTATATAAAAACCTTTTTATGAAAATCTGGTTTAAAAGGTGTATAAATATTTTGTGGACTATAAAAGGTCATATCCTTTAAGAAATTGTTTTTCATGGAAACCAAAAGGCTGTGTTTAAAAAGTCACAGTTTTAACAATTTAATATTTGCTTGGTATCTGGTCCAAATTAAAGTTCTTTTAGCCCTAAGAAAACATACTGGCTACTCCAGAGACAAGTATGACATTGAAACTATTAAAAGCATATATTTGAAAATAATTGAATATGGTTAAATAGAACTTTTTCCCCATGCATACCTGTGTGAGAATGATATTCACTTAGCTGGGGTTGAATTTCTATACATCCCAGAAAGGATTTTTTTCTTGGTACTTAATATGACTTATGATTCTAAAAATTCCACCAAATCTTTTATCATCAACAGGCAACTTTTATATGATAAATTCATTTAAGATGAAAAACCAATTCTTCTAATTATTTATAGAAATTCGTATAGTATTTGGAAAGTTTCTTAACTCATAAAAATGTCATGGTTGTCCATATTCATTTTCATGGGTATTCTCAACTGTGAAATAGATGGATAAAGTCCTTATTCCTTCAGCTGGGAAGCTAAAAAAGTTGTGGGTGTGGCATAAGGGGGAATCCTCATTACTGGGTATTTCCAGTCTTTCATCTCACTAAATGCTTGGGGAATGGGAAAATGTCATTGTCTAGGCGGGCGGTAATGTTCTATCTTCTTGGTCAGGAGATCTCTCTGTTACTTTCTACCTCCTCCTTTTTCTCCCCTTCCCTTACCAAAAGGTAAATGCAAGGACCATTCCTTCCTCCACCAAACCCTTGCAAGAGAGGTACTGAACTTGAAAGCCTTAGGAATTTCATGGTTTATGCAGCCCCAGCAAAGGGAAGAGGATTGAGTCTAGCCCAAGGGAGCTTATGTAGGTGAATTCTTCTTCAACCTTATGGGGATCATGCTGTTTAGAAAAGTGTGGATAGTTAGGTAGTTTGGGGGTTGATTCTTTTTCTCCAGTTAAATTTTTTTTTCTTGGGTGAGAATAAAGTAAGTCCTTAATTCTTCTCACAACTGTTAGCATCATGATAATTTTCAAGGTTTTGTTAAGATTATTTTTTTTAGCCAGGGAAATGTGGAATGTCTACTTTAATTCCATTCAGAATCTCAAAATCTTTCTGTCTAGTAATTTTGACTGAGAAAGTCTGTTTGCTTAAATGGATGTTTTAGATAAGTAAACCCATAAGTATATGCTATATCAAATGTAGTTTAACAGTTCATATACCAAGGGTGAGATGGTCATCTTAAAACATTATGCTTTACATTGAAATAAATATATTAAAATTCTTTAACCAGTTTCTTTAATTCATTTCAGGTGATCGAACATGAAAAGCTTGAAGTTCAAGATTCAGAACAAGAGGCTAGGAGTCTTTCGTTTCATGAGTATCCCTCAGGAACTCTTAAGCTTCAATATAATTTTGAGACCATAGAGCAACAGTTCTGTGACTTGCCTGATAACAAAGACTCTGCTGAGTGTGACATTGCTGAAGTAGACGGAGAACTTTTTGTGGCTCAGAGCAACTTTACCTTGATATTGGAAGGTGAAGAAGGAGAAGTTGAGACAGGCGATTCTGCAGCATCTGATATGTTAGCTAAAGCAGCTAACATAGCAGCTGAGGAAAAACATGTATACGCTGGGGAAAATGATAATCGTGGGCATGTTGCTAAATTGCCATCGATCATGACTAGTGATCAAGAGTCCCAGAAGGTAGAGACATTACCATATGTGCCTGAACCAATTAAAGTGGCAATTGCAGAAAATTTACTAGATGTAATTAAAGACACAAGAAGTAAAGAAATTACTTCAGAGACAGTGGAACAGTCCATTCATGAAAACATACCTCTAATAAGCCAGAAAGTAGTGTCTTCCACCAAGTTAGTCAAATCTACTTTTAAGACTGTTCAGGAAACAAGTACGGTGACTTTAAATGTCAGTCAGTCTGATGACATGGTTTCCTCCAGAACTCGCACAAGAGCACGTGTCCAAAGCCAAGATGTCAGATCAGTGTCAGTGCGACAGGAAGAGTCAGCAGATGTTGCTACTCCTGAAATGCCAGGGCTTTCAGTTAAGAAGAAAACTAGGAAAAAAGCAGACATTTCTGAGGCTTCCGAAAGTGCCTTTTCTGACGTCAAAGAAATATCTCAGAATCAGCAAATACCTCAAAATTCTATTACTCCTAGGAGAGGAAAGAGAAAGAAAGAAATTAATCAAGACACATTAGAAAGTATTAATTCTGTCGAACGAGAATTACAGGTTACTCCAGGTAGGGAATTAAGAAGGTTGAGATCATCGCAGCTGTTGGAACCGTTAGCTAAAGAAACTTCTTTTAGAAAAGAAGTTAAGCTTTCATCTGTTACGAAACAGACTCCTAAAAGAATTAAAAAATCTGTGGAAAATCAGGAAAGTGTTGAAATTATAAATGATCTAAAAGTTAGTAAAGTAGCAGATCCTAGCAGAAGCGCCAGAAAATTGAGACGTGCTGGTTTAGAAGCTTCTGAAGATAAAGGACATGGACAAGATGGGAAGTCCAGTGAACAACCGCCTGTTCAGCTTAGTAGTAAAAGAGTTAAAAAGGGAGATGTGAGTGCATCAGATGTTATAGAAAACTCTAAACTTGATTCATCACAGTTGACTCTTCAAGCAGAATTTGATATGCCCGCTACACCTAGGAAACGTGGTAGACCAAGAAAACTTCATCCATCACAGGATGTAGGGTCCGAGGCTGTTAAGGAAGAGAGAAGTCCCAAGAAGAGCAAAACTCTCAGCATGCCAAGGAGATCTGCAAGAAACACCCCAGCTAAAAGTGAAAGTACTGGTGATGGAAAACCAGCTTTAGAAGAATCCGTTTTCGTGCCAAATGAACTTGCTACAGTGATGAGCTCTAAGAAAAAGATTACAAAAAAGACTGAAACTCAAGGCCAGAAACGTTCCTGTCACTCAATACCAGAAAAAGGCATAGATGAAGAAATGACAGACGAACCAAATGACCAAAAAGAAAAAATGCTTGCCACTCCTTTGACTAGATCTTCCCGTCGCACAAGGACTAGACCCAGCAAGGCTGGCTTGATGCCTGACCTTTCTGAACCAAAAGACGAGTCTTTACTTTCTCCTGTGCCAAAAGTCCCAAGGAAAGAGAAAGGTACTTTAATTTCTGTCTGAAGCACAGAATCATTTTATTCAGTCTTCAGCTTAAAACTTGTTTTAAGTATGATTTAAGGCACTAATTGATTATTTCTTCTAAAAATAGTTTGTAGTCACAAAGAGTTCCTCTCCCTCCAAAAAATAACCAATTTTGATCTTTCGATAGTAAAATTTAAAGGTTTTATATTTTAAAGTTTATTTGGAGAGTCAAGAATTTTCTGGTTCAGTATAACCTTTTAAATCGTATAATTCACGTGACTTAGGTTTAATTTTTTAGAACAGTATCATTTTGCTTCATTCTGCCCTCATATCCTAAGTAACTTAATTTCGGTTTCTCCCCAGATAGAATCGGCATTTTTAATCTAAGTATCAGGTGTTTGGCTCTTGTGCCAGGTGGTATCCATAATCTCAGATTGTTTTGAAGGGAAACAGTTTCATTGATTAGGATACAGATTACTTGAATCCATATTCCCTGTGGCCCATAAAGCGGCCTGGGTCCATGCCCAGCCTCCCTCAGAGTCGAGGATGCGCTGATAACTGGATCCTTCCTTTGGTTGATATAGCTCATAGCTTCTCAGCAGGAGTGACATCTCTGCTAAAGGAGTGAAAATACCTTCCTGCTTATGTTTCAAACACAGATATATATATATATATATAAAAAAAATACGTAAACATCTGTGCTATTAAGATTTCTTGTAGTGGGAGGGGGGAATTTCAGTGAGAGAGGCAATTAAGAAAAAAAGGTCAGAAAAGGCGGTGATGAAGAAAAGGTTCAGACACTGGTGGAGCTGAATAGATCCCATTAGGGCACTTCTTTGTAAAAGTGATGAAAATGATTAGGTACACAAAATGTGGTTGTTTGCTTAAGTTATGGTTTAAGATTTGAATTTCAGCAAAGCAGCTCAGGGACTTATAAGTAAAGTAAATGACTGTTTTATTTAAATTTTTTAAAACTGTTGCATATGTTTTTAAGTGCATTAGTGGACATTCTATATAGTTACCTTCTGACTTTAGGAAGGCCAAGAAAAAGATAAACTATTTAAAAATCGGGAAATTGATAATTTTCTATCTTCGACATTTAGGTTATATTAGAAAGCTGGAGGCTGTCCTATTTAATTGAAACCTGTCAAACAGCTATCTTAGGATTTTATTTAAATGTGCTTTATAGCTAAAAGAATGTAAAACTCGGACATTTCAATAGATTTCCTCTAATTTCCATTCCTCACCTGCAGATGTTTAAGAAGGGCCTGTTGTATGCCTGAGGCTACACATTTATCAATTCATTTGATTCTCACTACAACCCAGTTAAGTACAGGTACTATTACTTCCTTCTTTCCACGTTGAGGAAATTAAAGTTTGAGGAAATTAAAGTTTCGTGAGGCTGAGTACCCAAGTCACCCAGGTAGTGAGCCGACTCCTGCTGGCTGGTGAGAGCCAATCGTTAAAATATTCAGAAATGTTAACAATTGTTAAATTGTTCCGACCAGCCGTGGTAGAAACATCTATACCACGGAAATGAATAACTGCTATGATACATCAGAGCTGCTTTTTGTTTTTTTCCAGAAAGCTGTTCACCAGTACAGCTGGGTTTCAACCTAGGTTTTTTTGAACTCCTAAGCCCTTAACTAGCAAGGCCATCAAAACTTACACTCAGAAAGTTTACAGAGAGGGAGATGAAGAAGTTAACAAACAGATATAACAGTCTTGTCTGGCTAATAGAAGCATGTGGAAGGAATGGTGGATACTCAACACTTTTGCGCGTGATAGTATATTTTTGTATTTCCTTACCTTATTCCTTTGAAGTGGAGGGGGAAATCATACGTGAAGATGATGAGCTAGTCTTTGAAAAGCCAAAGAAGTTGCTCCAAGTAGCCTCCAAAGAAAAAAAACAATGTATCATTTTCACAGAAGGAATATATTGACATGTTTGTCTGGTTTTTGACATGAAAAGTGGGAAGTCACCACCAGTAGCCGAGACCATTTCTGCCACTTACCAGCTGGGAGTAGAGAGATGTCTTATTTCTGACCTTGTGCCTAGTTTTTCTTTTAAGAATCATCTTCAAAAACAGAATTTGACATCTTAAAGAACTCTTGATTGTCAAATTAGGTAAAGTAACATTGGTTATTTTAGTTCAAAGATTTGTTAAATATATCCTTGAAATATTATAAAAGCAAACATCTATAAAGCACTTACCATATGATGCACATTGTTCTTAATCCTTTAATCTTCACAGTAACTTTATAATGCTATTATCATTCCCATTTTATAGAAAGTCAGGCACAGAGAGGTCTCAGTAACTTACCTTTGGTCTCATAGCTAGTAAATCCAGAAGCCGGGATTTAATCCCTGGCAGACTGGTTCAGCTACACCTTGCCACTTCCACAGCTGCATCGCTACCATGGGAACCCTAGGGTAAAAACAAAATACCCCGAGGTAATTACATGTTTTAAACCAATTCTTAAACCATTTTTATTTATCTGTGGAATAGCTTCCTGTCAGCTCGTTTTGCTATATTATTATTTTGTTTGCTTTTTCTTTTTGTGATGTGGACTTTTCTGTTGTTCCTCTTGACTGGAACAATTAAGAGTGAGCTGTCAGTGAAGAGGGTTC